CCACAATTTGGACCAGCAACTCTGTTACTAAGTGGCACAGTCATTAAGTGAGACAGCACACGACTGTGCTGATTTATGATGTGAACTCAGATTGGGGTCATTAAGCGAATGACTGCAGGATGTTAAGTGTGACTTCCTACTGGTTTCTCCCTTGACTTTGCTCATCAAACATTGGCTCTGAAGGTTGCAAATGTCAGTCATGTTACTGCAGGATGCTGAAAATGTTGGAAAGTTATAATCACAATCATGGGACCATGCTGAGGCTACAATAGCCATAATTTCAAGGACCAATTATATATCTTCTTTTCCTGTGATGTAATTTTAAATAATTGCTGAATGAACCATTGGTAAGCAAGGACTATCTGCGGTGTTTGAAATGCTGCCTCCATTCTTCAAGACTTTGCTTAAGAACCTATGTGATAACTCTGGAAGTGCTGTGAACTATTGTGACTAGTTCTGTTCCTCATTGCTGCTTCATAGCACATCCTCCTGGCCATAGAAACCTTTAGGATGCTCCCTCTGACTTAAAGTGGAGAGGATGTGACAATATCAAGAAGGAGGTACTTGTGACACCTTGACTTAAATCCATTGTTTTTCAGTTTCATGTTTGTTAACACCCTACCCCCACCCCCGCAACTACAGCAAACCCTTGCTGAGATTTTAGCATTACCTTGAGTTTCCTTTTGATCCTCTTCTCATACTCTTCCTTCATCTTTTTCGTTTCTTCCTCCATCTTCCCCCTTAACTTCCGAAGGTTCTTCTTCTGGCTCTGTTTCAGGTCCTCCAACGTCTGTTTGAGCATTTCAATTTTCTGCTTCTGCATTTCTTGCTCTAGTTCATTGGCTCTGGCCTTCATTTTCTCATCTAAACCAGGAAGAAAAGGCAAACAATTACAGGTGATGTGCAAATAATGCAATAAATAAGTAAATTAGGCATAGAGACAGTCCTTGCTTAATTATGGTAACTGGGTTCGGAATTTCCATGGTTAAGCCACCCAGTCATCAAGTACAATGCCATGTCACTGTGCTGCTTAGTGACAACCGTTCCATTTGCCATCATTAAGTGAAATCTGAACCATCATGTGTTGACATCATAGTCCACAGTAGCAACAGTTACAAATATTGGATAATACTGCAGAAAAGGGAAAAGTTTCCCTCTTTTATAAGCAGGTCCTTAAGTACAGAGGAAAGCAATTCCCCAATTAGTGATGAGTTTAAGGATAAACAAGTATTTTCCCATTTTCAAAGCAGAACCAACATCCCAGCATCATCTGACAGCTTGTTCACACCATTACCTGCTATTTCCCTCTCCTTCTCTTGAAGGCTCACATCACTTTGAAGGATGGTTTTGCTGATGTTTTCCTTGCTCTGGAGGAATTCCTCCAGGATCTTCCTTGCCTGATTGAAGGGGGGAAAGAAGAGAATAGTCTGGAGCGGTATAGAATTGCCAGCAATAAGAAGAAAGCTTTGCCAAAGCAAGACACTGAACAATCTGTCAAATGTTATCTTTCTCTTGAAGGCTCAAATCACATTGAAGGATGGTTTTGCTGATGTTTCCCTTGCTCTGGAAGAATTCCTCCAGGATCTTCTCCGCCTGATTGAAGGGGGTGGGGGTGGGGAGAGAGAATAATCTGGAGCAGGATAGAATTGCCGACAACGAGAAGAAAGCTTTGCCAAAGCAAGACATTGAACGATCTCCCTGGAGGATGACACCACAGCTGTCAAAGGAGAGACAAAGTGACATCTCATGCTGAATGGGGGAAATTGGCCTTCCTGGAGAAGCAACCAACTCTCTTAATCTGAGTGACAAAATGATATCTGATGCCAAATGGATGAAATCTGGCTCCCCGGAGCGCTTCAAAATGACATTTTTGAATGCCAAAGCTCAGTCTTGGTGCCAGAGAGGTGTGCAGTGATGGGAATTTCACCCAAGTTACAACAGCATTGAAAAAGTAATTTCTGATCAAGCCTTTTACTTACGACCATTACCGGCTCAAAGTTGACTCAGCCTTCCATCCTCCCAAGATGGATAAAATGAGGACCCAGATTGTTTGGGGGCAAGAAGCTGACTGGCAACTTGGCTCATGAATCAATTAGGGCACTTTTAGGAAACCTGACACTGTAAACCGCTTAGAGAGGGCTGTAAAGCACTGTGAAGTGGTATATTAGTCTAAGTGCTCTTGTTGTTGCTATCACAGCATTCTTACAGTCAAGTGATCAAAATAGCAATAGCAATAGCAATAGCAA